ATGAAAAGATAACTGCAATAAAGCTTATTTCAGCAATTTACAGTTCAGAGTGTAAGTATTTTTTTTTTATCACTTTGCAGTTCTGGAGTGGTTTGACTGTTTTAGATGATGCTTAATACATTTATCAGTACATACACCTGCATGAATTATGTTTGTGAGTCTGAGTGTGGAGATGAATGGCTCATAGTCATAAAAGCTACAGAGTATTTACACCTGAATAGCATCTGCACTTTACGGCTCATTTTGACCAGAGTGGTGTGTTTAGTGACTGCACACAGTTTGTTTAAGCAAAAAGAAAAAACTGATGTAGCAGCTAGGAACGTCTTGTACTGTTGCCTTGCATGGAAAAAGAAAGACGGAAACAAGACTTTAAATTAATATTAATGTTGTCCCATAACTGCTGGTAATAAGGAGCTGTTTGCTAACAGCTTTCCATATCAATTTGAAAGGTGATGATGTGTGCTCCCCCCAACTGTCTTCAATCCATTTTTGAATGTTTAAATGGAAAAATATCTCATACAGAATAAACAAGCATCATTTGGAATATTACTATCGTTCAGTGTCTGCTTTTGGTGCTTTTTCGCAGAGAGTACTTTGACACCTAGCTATAAGTTGGGATATAAACTACATGATCAGTTTAACAATGGGTTGTTCTTATTAGAGCCATATAAATGGTAAATGGCCTGTATTTATATAGCGCTTTACTAGTCCCTAAGGACCCCAAAGCGCTTTACATATCCAGTCATCCACCCATTCACACACACATTCACACACTGGTGATGGCAAGCTACGTTGTAGCCACAGCCACCCTGGGGCGCACTGACAAAGGCGAGGCTGCCGGACACTGGCGCCACCGGGCCCTCTGACCACCACCAGTAGGCAACGGGTGAAGTGTCTTGCCCAAGGACACAACGACCGAGACTGTCCGAGCCGGGGCTCAAACCGGCAACCTTCCGATTACAAGGCGAACTCCCAACTCTTGAGCCACGATCACCATATAGGTCCACCATACCACAATCACTATCCCAAAACACCAGTTTGGATGAATTCTTTTGTGGATTTAGGCTTGTCTCAATGTCACTGCCCACACTGGCTGAATGTTAAGATCAAGACTTTATAGGGGTCATCTGGTATGTGTCTCCTTGGTCTTCTTCTAGCTGAACATAGGTCTTTATAACTATGGCTTTGAAAACGTATTCAATTCCCTGGATAAGAACCTAACCATCCTGAAGACATCTATGGAGATACAACTTAAAAACTGTGCAAAAACTAGCATTTGTTAATCACTTACATATATATTGTGAACTAGTTCTGCTGGTCTTTGCTTGTCTGCCTTAAGGCCACAATCTATCTGCACGTCCATCAGTCAGCAATGGCAGTTCTTTTCAGCTCCGTCAGTTTGTGTGTGCCCCTCCTTCATATTTCAGTGTGTTTAAAATGGAAGATCTATTTATGCAGCCTGTCTTTAGGAGCTGGTTTTCTGATTGCTTCGTCAGAGAGCTGGTCTGTCTGTGGCAGCAAGCTGGAGGCGCTTTAGGCTCTTCATCCCCCCTGGTGAGCCTCTATCCCAGCAGGCTTAGGGACACAGTCCTAGGCAGCTGCCACAAGGTTGGATTGGTAAGGAATAAATAGCTTTTCTCCACAACAATAATGAAGAAGAAAAAGCAAACAGATTCAAAGATACTGATGTTGTTATACATGGTGTGGTATTTACCACACCTGCTAATTCATAATGCCTCAACCGGCCTTGATGGATGAACTTGTATTGTAGCATGGTTTTTATACCATCCGGGCTCGGTCGAAACCCATCAGGAGTTTGGGCAGAGCACTAAACGAACTTGTTTTGTTGGTTATTTGCTTTTTCAGTTGTAGAAATAGAAACTCAAACGTGCCTTAAATGCTGAGATAACTAGACAAAAGGCCGGTACTGTGATTGTTCCACGATTACTTTTCAGAGGGGAAAAGTCATACTCGTGTTGTCATCAGCGTTTCCTCTGTGACTTTATTGAAGTGACACATCAGGGCCTTTCATTGAGGGTCTGGTTAAATCTATTTTTGTCTTGTCACTCTCATTAATAAAAGATTTCAGACAGTCTACCAGGGAATATGAGGAGAACATTGCTTCAATAGTGTTATTACGTGGCACACATGCACTAACATACATCCACATTTATATCATAGAATAGTTCATGCTTAGGTCTTATCTCCCCGACATTGTGTGCTCAGCTGTGAGTTACACCTAAAAGCCAACTATTGACAAGTATTGTGGCAGTACACAGCATGAGTGGCCCTGCGGCTGTGTACAGGGCTGGAGAACCGAGCAGCACTATTGGCTCAGTTAACAAGGAATATATCACTGCAGCTGTTTGTCTTCACGTGTTTCACGTCTTATTCTCATTTTCTACCTACAGGCCTTCAGTTCTTTTTGTTTTCTGTTAATTCGTTGCTTCTTTCATGTGTCACTTTTGACCAACCTTGGCATCTCTCTCTGTGTACTGTTCCAGTTAGTTATGTAATCTCAGTATCTATGTCATTTGGGACCTCATATTGACAGTTTAGTCCGTCACCATCCCTCTCCTGCCAGTTTAGTTATCCACTTCACTCCAGGCAGCTGGGGAGCATGACACAATATTACACAGCCAAAGTTATTGATCCCATAAAGACTGCGTGTTTATGACACTGTCGCACACGTATATGATTCACATTTTGATGCAACCAGATCACTGACATGGCTGTAAGTTGGCACCAACCAAATTTAAGTTACATAAGTTGCCGTGTGTGAGTTCAAAACAGTCCTGTCAGCTGATGTTACGTGACCGGTGTTGACTGCAAACCAGAAAAGACTAGAACCCTGGGATTTAATACATGCTTAGCTCTAGCCTGACAAATAGCACACGATTCCTCGCTGACCTGATTCTTCTTATCTTGTCATGATAAGGTGGAATTATGATACCTGTTTGCCCGACATGAACTTAATAAAAAAACAAAGAGGCTCATATGACCTGTCATAAAATGAGTAGTATAGGACAAGACAATGGCAAGTTTAGTTTTCAGTTAAGGTCATTTCAATAAAAAAGAAAATCCTAGAAAACGTTATCTCTGTTGTACTTTGTAATGATTCTCTTGCATTATTTGCAAAGCAAATCTACAGCATTGGGTAAAATAAAGAAGCAGATTGTATGTGTTTTCATTAAAGTTCGTGCAAACAGTAAACTACACTGAGACGTTCTTTTATCCAATATAAACGTGTGTTAACTCCTCTAACAAGGACAACTGGTTTTAACCAGGTAACTTGCAGCTTTCCAGGTTCCATGAACTTTGCCCTGGTGCTTTTTTCACAATATTGCCAACTGACAAACAAACAGCTAGACTGAAAACTACCACAGCTTCAGCTTCAGGTCCCGCAATGGTGGAGGAAAAATAATAATAATAATTAAAAAGGCAATAAATGCGTTGCATATGTCATCTAAACTGATAGCAAAATAGACTGTAAAAAAAACTTTGACCAACTAAAATTCTGAAATCTGACAGATGTTAGACTAGACATGAGAAATCTGACAGATGTTAGACTAGACATGAGAAATCTGACAGATGTTAGACTAGACATGGGATAGGAATGAACCCATCTCAGCAATTAGCCACTTTAATAAAAAGGTTGACCTCCATCTGTAATATGTGCGTGTATACTTAGCAATATAAAATGCCCGTGTCCAGCAGTCTGCACACAGTATCCAACCATAATTTGGCCTTTTTGGAAGAGTCTGACTGTCAATAACCCTGAAGAAACTAAAATAAAATAACCCAACTCCATACTGCTCTCTAGTTAACTACATGTCCTGCAGCCTCTTGCTAAAAATATTAGCCCACAACCCCATCTCCTGTTGCATTTTGGAATTACAAAATAAAAAGTCAAGCACGACTTTCCTTATAAAGTGTTTACTGGTGTAGTTATTTTACACATTATGCCTGAAAAGAATAATGTTTTAAAGATACAGTCACATAAATTTCTTCTTCAAACACATTCACAATAGTTTCCTGTACAACTATTTTAAAACCATTGTACCAAACCTTTCTAAAAGTTCTAAAGATTTGTTAAATACTTAAAATATGAATTGTATTACTAATGATTTAAACGAAACACTGAATTGAAAAACAAAAACCCAAAGCTAATTATAAAACACTGGGAGAGGCGTTTACCACTGTTACGAATCCCTTTTTCTTTCCACAGTATTCAAGCAAATTATTTTCCTTCTCTTGCACAACAGGGGAACTCTTCAACAATTCAGCACTTACTTTACTGCATTGTATGTAATTAACTATTCATTATTTATTTATATTATGCTGAGAAAATAGGAAATAGGTTAAATGATGCACTGAAACATCTACAAATATAAGTACAAATACAGTATGTAAGACAAACACAAAGTCTGTACAGTTCTAAAGAGCTTGAAAGTCAATATTTGGACGCATGTCTTTGGATTGTGGAAGGAAGCCACAGCACCTGCAGAGAACCCAAACTGACACAGAGAGCAAACTCCATACAAAAAGGCCCGAGGCAGATGGCGGAATTCAACCTTGCTGTGAGGCAACAGTGCTAACCACCACTCCACCATGCTACAGGGCTAAAAATACTATTTAAAACAGCTTGTTTGCTAAGTTCTCTGTTGACACAACACCAGTTAAGGGCTTTTTCATGCTTGAATGATTTACAGGTCAGTGTTAAGCAGCTTAACAAAAAAAACATTCCCCTGGAAATTGTCAGCAACAAGGATCGCACTGAAAATAAGTGAAAAAGTAGCCCAAAGAAAAAAATGTAAAGAGCAATGCTGTGTGCACTACAGCACTCTGACACTATTACAGATGCTGATTTTTGAACTCTGTGCTGATAACAGACAGGATGGTTCTTTTCCTCCTCAGCTGGGCAGATGCAGTGGTTTGACTCAAAATAAGCTTTACATTTCACCTCAGTTAATCTTAAATTAGTTGAAACTCAGAGAAGGTCCCGGGTATGGAATTTATTTTAAATATGACTTTCGTCTTTACACAGCTTTTGCAATCGTTTATTTGCCCTGTTACAACATTTCTGAAATGTTCTGCTTACACCAGATTTAAAATCAGCATATATGCTTCTAAAAAATATATATAATTTTTTAAAGTTTCAACAGTTGACATTGTGTCTTTGTGCTATTTTTCAAATAACTACTACTTACTGAAATGATTTTAAAAAATACATTTTACACAGTTTACCAGCTTTTTGTGGATACAGGCCTGCAGATTTACAAACAAATACCAAAATACCTCCAAAAAACTGTTCCATATACCAAACAAACCAATGAATACACTTAGCCATAATGACGTTAGAGTCCTATGACTGGATGTAGCGGATAATCTCACTCAGATCATAGCCTGTCACTGCAAAGGCATAGCCATCGCCATCACAGAACCTGGCGCCACAGATTTGTGTATCTGTCACACACTCGTTATGCAAATGCACAACCTAAGAGGAAATGAGAAAAACACACAGTCAGGTTCTGTTTGAGAGTAAGACATAAGTCATCTTGTGTCAGTCATCCAGATGTGTAGGATGACTGGGGGAGACTGCAATGAACTGTCCCTCTTTTTTAAATGTATTCAGGAAATATGCTTTGTAGTCTGTCTTGGGACCACTTACCTCCACACTGTTGGTCTCTGGGGTGATAGTCATGTGCCATACTCTGACAAGAGAGTCCTCAGCAGCAGATAAAAGCTAGCGTAGAGAAGGAGACGGTCATCTTTCAGGTGATTTGAACTATTAATATTACTACTAAAAATATGTTTAAATGTAAATATACTTCAAATTTTCACTAATTATTGTCAAACTGACAAAGATGAATCTGTTACTTTCAGCTGTGAAAAAGCTAAATAAAAAATGCATTATTATACATCTTTTTGATACAACTCACCAATCCAGAAAAAGGAGCAATGTCTACTGAGTATATCCAGCGAGCATGAGCGTTGATCTCAGCATGCAAAATTCCCGTAACTGCCTCGTAGAGTCGAATCTGGCCTGTGCCGTAACCTGCCACCGCTGTGCCCTTCCATAACTTGACAGATGAGCAGCTCATACTGAAACCATTGAGGACCAATGCCATCAGGGAACCAACAGAAACTATATTTTATATTAGATTAGAGAATGTCAGGAAATAAAACACATAAATAAGTCAGTGTAAAAAATACCTTCGGTCAGAAGAGACAGCGTTTTTCAAGTCCTGAATCAAGTCTTTGCTGGATTTTCCCCCCCTATTTCTTAATGATATGACTTTAATATAGCATTAATCTGTTGTAAAATTGATTTTTGTGCCACTTCTTATTTTCTCTTCCACTTGTTCTGTATCCTCAAAGTTTTTAAGGATCCACTGCACACCATGCCAAGATATCCCAGGTTTTCTGGCAACAGCTCTTTGAGAAGCATCTTGTTGAAAAATATTATTTTATTTCTGTCAAACTGTGTTATCTTAAGCATTTTTCATTAAATCAATTAAGAAATGAGAACACACTACACATTTTTTGCAACAGGCTCCTAGTAACAGAGGCTAAAGATACCATTTAAAAATTTCTTCTAAGCTCAGTTGTCTATTATTAAACACAACAATGGTTAGGTAGAATGTCATGCTTGAATAATTAATGGGTCAGTGTTCAGTGGCTTAGCAAACAAAAAACATTCTTCTGAAAATGGTCGGGTACAAGGACTGAACTGAAAATGACTGAAAAAGCAACTAGTGTCCAAACAAAAACTTTTTAGATAACTTCAGAAAACCCAGAGAACTACTGTTCAAGACCAATGGGTCCTTAAAAGCAATGTGACGAAAGGTGTGGCTCAAGACAACACTGTAGAAAAAAGCTTCAGTGAACTTACTCAAAACCAGGGATTTTGTTGAGCAGCTGAAACTCCTCCCCAGACTTCCACACACATAGATTTCCCCCATCATCTGCAGTAACAAGATTAGCTATGCACTCCTAAAGGAACAGAGAAAAGGATATTGTAATTCATAGAACGATCATAGTTGTTATAATTATTACATAAGGTATTTATTCATTTAATCTATGACTCATGCAAGAGGCGTACACTGTCATGTACAAACAAAGACTGTGACAGATTGCAAAACACACATATGTGCCTTACCTGGCTGCCAGAGCACTCTGAGGCCATGTCAGTGATGGATTCTTTGTGCTCCTCCAGGACTTCAGACAAGGTAATATTACTTCCTTTACTGGGCACATCAAATACTAAAATTGCACCAGATGAAACTCCTATAGAATGAGAAAGAGACAAGTAGACTGTAGACCTGTGCTCTTTTGACTACACAAAAACTGAAAAGACAAAAATTCCACCCAGCACTTACCCACACATATATAATTCTCGTACACTGCTGCTATCCCTCGGGCAAACACTGCCTGTGCTGGGACAGAAATTAGGTCTGTGAATGCACCAAATCTAATAAAGAACTCTGGGTTAATAATTTTCTGTCTCACATGCAAATATGTGATGAGTATGAAATTTATGAAGCTGAATACATCAGTCACAGATAACAGTATTTATCAGCAAGCATAAGAAAATCTGAAAACGTCTTTATTGCCATAGTGATGTCATAATACTGGTGTAAATCTTTAAAAAAAAAAACACTAAATAATGAAGACATCACACGGGTGTTGATGTTATGGGGATGGATCAATTGATCTAAATCCTCTTCAGGAACAGTTAAGTGATTCACTGTAACTCATTATATCGCAACACACTGCACACTATAGTTTCACACTAATGAGTAAAAAAAGTTCTTCTATTAGTGAGTCCCTACATGTGTAGTAGGATAGTTACAACTAAATGTTGCATATTTACCTGTAGGTGTTTCTGGAGTATCCAGTGCATGCCAGTACACCATGATGGAGCCATCAGATTCATACATCTAAAGGAACACACTTATAAGTAAATAAGACTTATAAGATAAGTAAAAAGCTACAAAACAATATTTATTGCTTGCGGTACTCTATGACAGATTAAATTTAACTTAATGTAATATTATTGTTTCATAATGTGTGATTATAGCCACTATAAGTATAAAATTAAAAGACATAACACTGCCTCCTTTTCTGTTGGTGATCACCACAGCAGATCATCTGCCTCCATCTTACTTTCTCCCTACATGCAGAGGGTTATCAGTAGGGACATGCATGTCCTTCTTCACCGACAGCTCCATGTTTAACATCCTTTGTCCCATATATCCACTATACCTCTCTGCACATGCCCAAACCATATCAGCCTTGTCTCTCTAACTTCATCTCCGAACTGCTTGACCTGAGCTGTCCCTCTGATGTACTCATTTCTAATACTGTTCCGTCTGATCATGCCCAGCAAAAATGTAATCGTCTTCAATTATATAGCTGCCAGCTCTGCCTCCTGTCTTTTTGTCAGTGCCTCTGTCTTCAAATCATGCATCTTAGCAGGTCTCAGTACCATCTTGTAAAGTTTCCCTTTAACTCTTGCTATTCTGTTACAAATCACCTTTAACACACATCTTCACCCACTCGTGCACCCTCATCTCCTCTGTCAACCTGTCCATCACCATTGCAAACAAGAAAGGGCTCTGTGACGATCCCACCCACACCTTGAACCCATCTGTCAGTCCTGCTGTACACCTCACCACTGTGTTACTATCCTCATACATGTCCTGCTATTGACATCAAAACTGAGAAAATAGCAACATCTACCTGGATGCCCTTTTGAGACGTCACCACAAGGAGATCACGAGAGGGGAGCACACAAAACGCAGCCTGTTACAAAAAAAACATGTATTATTTTTAAGCTTAATTGTTTTTTGTGTTACTTTTATAGCTCTGCATTCTACATCACAGGACTATAAATGTACTGTATGAGTATGTGATTAATTGTAATATTTATATATGCATTACACATTGTAATGTATGTAATGTAATGTAACTGAAGAAAGTGTTAAGCCATTTTCACACATTGAGGGAAAAAGTAGCTGTCTGAAAATTAGTTGTCTCAGGTATACAAGAGAATGCCTTTAATATGGTACGCAAACAAGCAAGACACAGGGGCGCACACACACACACACAACATATACAACACCCCAACATATATATACATATATATATATCATCATGTCTGTTGGTGTTTATGTGTTGTTGTGTGTGTTTGTGTGTGTGTGTGTGTGTGTGTGTGTGTGTGTGTGTGTGTGTGTGTGTGTGTGTTTCTTTTCTAAGTGAAAAAATTAAGGAAGGAGAAAAACATGAGGATTAAAAAGCAAGACAGTGGTGAGTGGAGCAGATATCCACAATCTGGGGAAGTGATCTGAATAGTATAGTCAGGAATAGTCAAAGTCAGGAAACCATCAGTTGACAGTTAACAGTCTTAACACTTCGTAACCAGCCAACTTGGTCTTGGGCGTTGTTACCAAATTAAGGATGCTTACAACATTTCTAGAGTAATGCTTTAACATTCGTTTTGTAGGACTTTTAAGTTGGTTGTTTCAAATTATTTATAATATACTGGAAATAAATGAAATTTGTTGAAGGGGGATTATTTTGCCTTGGACTCACCAACGTATACCAAGTGCATTCATTTCGCGTACATTTAGAAAGAATACGACTGAAAATACTGAAGTCAATACTGACGTTTTGCTGAAGTCAGTCTTTTAGCTGTTCTCAGTGAGTATGATAAGGTAAAATGGGGAGCAGAAGAAGTTGCACCGTGACCTAACCTGCATGATAAGCGAAGTGCTTGTAGCAACATTTGGCTCCTTGGACTGCAGCTGACGGTGGGTGTAGTTTAGGCCGTCCCAGGACGCGCTGACCATGTTGACCATGTTAGCATGGACCACGGTGAAGTGGGTGAGGCGCCTCGGTGCTATGCGCAGCACGCTGAGGTTGTTGTACAACGCTGATGCGCTGTTTTTTATCTGGATACTCTTTTCCTTGTGATACATTGGGTCTTCTTTGTAGGGCACAGTTGATCGAACAATGTGTAATCTAATCTGATGGCGGACTAAAAAAGAAAAGAAAGAAGACAGAAAATAAAGATACCATAATTAAATAGCAAGTAATCTCTTCAAAAACATGCCCTAACCACTAGGCTGTCGTTAATTCATAGCAAATTAAATGCTAACCACTTAACATTAGCAGCAAGCTAAGTATCTTAGCGAGATAATAAATACAACCGGACAGCCTTATATATTGGACATATGTAAAACAAAGTTAAAAAAAAACCTCCCCCATAGCTGTTGCCTCAATCGATTATTCCAAATTAAGTTAATGTAAACGAAGGGCTTCTCTGGCTTTTGCTAGCAACAGGATTACCTATGCGTCCTCTGCAGCCATAGAGACGACGTAACTCTACGTACTACGTCAACTATGCGTGCTAGGTTGCTGGGCAACCGTGAATAGTACGAATCTGAGGATAAAGGTAAAATGTTCCAGTTTTGGCATGACAACACTGTTTATTAAAAAGAAACCTAACGCCGATTGTGTTGCGATATATAAATTTAGCGCTTTTAGTTGCAGTGTGGTTAGCTACGTTAAAGTAAAGGTGTCGGTGATAAGGTGCCTATCTCCCCTGTTTGTGTGCTTCGTGTATGTCTGTAACGTGTATCCGGATAACGGAGCATTCGTTTTGATAACAGTGATTTTAGGGTTAATATTTGAAACTGTGAAGAGTGTTTTAAAACACCTACTCTATGTGCAAACTACTCGTAATTATTACGATAATAACAGGAGTAAAAATAAAAAAGTTCTCTGCACCCCGAACGAGCAACAGTAGCCAGTTGGCTGCCTGTGTAGAAATGACATTTGCAGCGGGACAAAACCATATTAAAATGTTTTTTTTTTTTTTTTAATATACAGGTCATTGTTTGTATTCTTAACTCCAGTGTGGGGATCACGTAAAAATTGTGTCTGTTAACGTAGAATTGTGACTTTTGGGCCCGTCATTTTGATCATCTAACGGAATTAAAGCCACAAACTTCCTGATTGATGCACTAACTGAGCTTTTGAATGCCCTGTCTGCAACTGCCAGCATACTGACCTTTACACGACCATAACACAGATAAGAAATAAAATAAACTTTTTCATTGACCAAAGAAAATAAATAGCTTGAAAAATGATAGCTGTCTGGCATGCTGTTATCTAACATGCTTTTTACTCTATGGATAAAAACACAAAATAATGCCCATGCATTTACTCTCCTCCTAATAAAACCCTAAAAGTGTGACTTTCCCTTATTGCAACCTTTAAATGTCTACAGTGTCACCAAATCATAAGGTCAAACGGTCAATCAAAAGGTTTCAGGACTGTTTATTGATTATTTTTTTTAACTAAGTGAGCTCACCAAGATCATCATTAAATAGAATTTGGGTTTGTGATAATGCCAGTTTTTTTAGTTTTCCATGATCTGACTTTTTGCAGTTTATATTTCACACCAGCCTCTGAGCAAAAATGCCACGCTCTGCACCCAAGCCTCAAACTGACAAGCACAGACGTAGGTCATCTGTACAGGTGATCTCACCTGCAGCACAAGAGCAGAAAGGGGAAGATATAATCCCAGGTCACTTGACCCGGACCCAGTGGACAAATATGTTGCTTCAGGAGGATGCAGATGAGGCAGTGGGGGAAATCTTAGATGAACTGCTGAGGAAGGTCATGAAAGGATGTCTTGATGTGTATACTGAGAGCCAGGTAAAACTGAGAAGCTTATCAGCTTTATGTTGTTTTTTTCTTTTACAATCAGTTCAACATTAATGTTATAAAGAAAATACTTTGTCTTGCTTTTATCCATAAATAATATATATTGCATTTCACATCTGTGATATTGTCTGTCTTTGGCAATAAGCTACCAACTTTCTCTGCATCTTGGGCCAAGAGGTACCTCACACAGATTGTAGAGCACCAAATCTTGTGCCTAGATGAGGGAGAAGGACCAGTCGAAAGATCAAAAACAGAAGATTCTGAGCCTGTGCCACCAACTTCCGATGCCTGGGCTCAAGGATGTGTGCCTGTTCTTATCCATCAACAACATCTTGCTGCACAGGAGGTACTCTTATAGTCTCTTCTATTTGTCTTCTATTCAAATGCCACCATTAAGTTATTTATATTCACATCTACACTATATCTATATTACTATATTCCTTTGTAACAGAAGGCTGACATTGACCAGGTTCCAGCACAGAGAGAGGCACGAGTCAGCCAGCAATGAATGTTGAGGTCCAAATAAAAAGCTCCTCAAAGCGAGTTAAAAAAGAAACAAGTCCAAATTAACCAGCCTTTCCAGTCTACTAGTTTAAAGCCGATAGAGAGTGATGCTATCATGTTCCTGGGTCAAAGACTCAGTGTTTTGATTTTTGTATTATAATTGTTGATCTTTGATTTCATCATGGTTTATGATGACCAGTGTTTTGGTTTAAGTTTTGTATTTCTTGCTCTCCAGTTGTTCTTGGTTTGTGATTTCGAGTTCTTAGGTTTTGGTTCCTGTCCCCCTCATGTTTAGTGTAGGTTTAGTTCTGTCCTTGTGTTTATTCTCTTGTTCCCTAGTCAGTCGTGTCTCATGTCACTCTTGTCCCTGTACTTCGTGTTCCCTCTGTTCAGTATCAGTCTATGTCTCTGTACCTGTCGTGTGCTTCCTGTTTTATTTTAACAGTCTCTGTTCTCTGTTCAGTCTCTGTCCCAATGTTTTCTCTGTGCTTGTCCTGGTCCCACATCTCATGTCTAGTCTCCCTGTCTCTATGTTCCCGCTGTAAGGTGTCAGTTATGTCGTAACATTAAGCTTGTGCCTCTGAGTCTGTGACTGTATGTACGTGCCATATTTCCTGTTTTACTCTGATAGTCTTGTGTGCTATGTCAGTGTGTCTAGTTTGGCTCCCCTTGCCTCGGCATGTTTAATTAGCTTCAGCTGTGTCTCCCCCCCGTTTGTTTCCTCGTTCCCTGTGTGTTCTCCTTAGCTCCTTGTTGGATTGGCTGCGTTACTCCTGCGTTCTCTCCTGTGTGTCATTGCTTCCGTCTCAGCTTTTCTAGTTATGTTTCAGGTTAGCTTTGCCAGTATAGGTTTTGTTTGTTCTTTTCTAGTTGTCCTTGCCATTTATTTTTAACATCTGTTCAGCCCTAAATATAGGCTCGTTTTCTGTTACCATCCACATTCATCTCCATTGTCTGCATTTGGGTCCACTCCTCTAACTTCATGTGGTTTGCCTCAAACCATGACAGATGCCCCTGTGCTGTTTTCTGTTGATCAGGTTGCAGGAGTCCCATCACCTCAGGTCACCCCACTGCTTCAGCCCAAGATCTGTGACAGCTGATTAGAAGACGTAACAATGTCTATGGTTGAGCCACATATTAACACAATAAATTTGAAAAAACTACTATAATTGTACAAGTCTGCCTTTTTTTTAAAACTCCAGTTTCCCACCATGTGATTTTAGCTACTCTGCATTTGAAATACAGAAATGAAATACAGTATTTCTAATCTAAAAAAATGTTGCTATATAAAATAACACATGATAAAGGTGAGTTGTCTCAGGAACGACATTGCACCTGAAAGTTTTATTCGTAATACATTATATGCATTGGAGTCTTTTTATACTGTGTGCAAAAATAAACACTGAGCCCTTATTATTTACGTATCTCGTAAAATATACTTTACATATCACCTAATCTCTCTCAAATGTTAGACTCTTGTAATTTATTTAAGTAGTCTTTAGCAATACTTCACCAGGCTTATTGCAAGGCACTCAGAGCTCTTCTTTGAATGTTGGCTGCCTTTTGTTCTTTCAAGATGATCCGACACATTCAATAATGTTAAGGTCTGGGCTCTGGGGAGGCAGTATGCTTTTACTGCATTGGCAGTGTGTTTAGGATCATTGCCAAGCTGAAAAATGAAGCTGATGCCAACCACCCGCCTTCCAGATGGTACTGTATGGTGGATGGTAGTGGATAGTAGCGTGACTTCTTGACAGCCATCCTTAATAGAAACCATTTCTGATGGAGCTGTAGTAAACAGTAGAAGGATCAGTTGAAGAGCTAGGGGGATTTTTCTGTTCCTGTATCACTTCTTTGCTGGATTTTTTTTCATTTCCTAAAGTCAAGACTTTTAGACACCGTTCATATGCTGTAGATGGATTTTTAAGCCTCTTCTTCTTTTGTCCATCATTTGTCCTTTTTCCCTCAAATTTTTAAGATTACATGCACACCATATTGAGATGTACCAAGTTTAATAACTCTTTGGGAATCCCTTCGCTGGGGCAAAAATACTATTTTATGCCATTCAAACTGTCTGATTTATAGCATTTTTCATTAATTCTGCTAAAGAAATGAGAACAGCGTATGTGTTTTTGTGACAGAGCACTTGTAACAACATTAGTTCTTTCCTATGTTGTCTTTGTGTAGCTAGGACACTGGTTCTTCCTCTGAGTTAGGTGCATTTTTATGCTTGAATGATAGGCCATTATTAAGCAGCTTACCAAGCAAAGAAATGTACCTATGAAAATGGTCGGATACAAAGACTGGACTTAAAATGAGTGAAAAGCTGTTTATTATACTCTTGCATACGTTTATAACGGTTATAATGTTCCGTTTTTCACCATTTGGAAGATGTAATAGCGCCATAATCCTTTAGAGGCTGTAGTTTGTGGGGCTGTTGAATGTATTGTACATTATGCTGATAGGTGTTTGTATAATTGTGTTCTTCCCTGGAGGCAAAATAACAGAATTGTATCTACTATATTTAGCAATTATTTGCTTATAAATAGCGGATCTGCATTTTCTGTACATTTGTATTGATTTGAAAAAAGATATTAACAGAAATTTAAAGCAGATAAATATCACCGTATCGATTGTATGTCATTTATTTATTTATTTTACCTGTGTCGAAATTATTATAGGCATGTGTCTGCGCATGAGCGGCTCCGGAGCACCAATCAGAAGATTGTTTGTGCAACCTATCTTGGGAAAGACGATTGGACCCGCCCAGAGAGAGAAGCGAGCCAATCATCGAGCTCCCTCACCTTTTCTAACCCAATCAGGGAAATATTTTTTTGGGTAGCATGTTTCACTAACCCTTGGCACATGTGAAAGCGGAATGAAGGGAAAGCGCTGTTGATGAAACGTTCCTAAATAACTGAAATTTTATCTTGTCGAAAACAATTTAGAAATGAAGAAGAAGCAGTCCGTTCCAGAGGAACCAGCAGAGGTAAGACTTGAAAATTTAGTAAAGTTTGGCTTCCCGATCGCTCAGAAAAGAGCAGTTCTACTCAGCGATGCACGAGTACTGCTCGCATGCCTACAGTTTGCTATTTACGTCGCACTGGAACCACTTAGCGAACTTACATGTTTCATACATTCTGTGCTGGGGGAATATTGGTAACACGTATTACAGTGCAACATGTATAATTTGTTGTTTACAGATGAATCCCTCAGATTCCTCTCGACAGAGAGAAGAGGACGAGGAAAACGAGGCTCCAGTTAAAGCAAAAAGAAGCAAAGCTGATCACGCAGGGGAGGAGGTTGTCTATCACCCAGTGAAGCTATCTCGAAATGATCTGTATCGACCCCCTACAGCAGAGGAGCTCAACCAACTGAAAGAGGCAGAAAGCCTGTTTCACTGCAGTCTGCTCAAAATGCAGGTGAGACGCCAGACTTAGTGACATAACCATAAAAGATAATGATAAAAAAGGAGTGTGATCATATCTCTTAACCCTGTTGTCCTATGTAACCACTGACCACACAAACTGATAGTGATCTGTCATCAATAATAGATGGAGGAGCTGTTGAAAGAAGTTGCATTGAGTGAACGCAGGAAACGCCAAATAGATTCATTCATTCAGACAGTCACCAAGTTAATCCAGACTGTGCCAGACTCACCAGAAGTTGAGGTATGTTGTGCTTCAGTTGTAACCAAAGCTTTGTGATTGGCAATAGATGGTCAACTCCACACAAATTCACACATGATTTTTGTCTCAGGTAAGTGACCTGTCCTGGCTGTCTGGTGCAGTGAAGGTCCCATTTCTCTTGGTGCCTAAAACAACAAAAGGGAAATTCCACATGGCGCCTCCTTCTTCCATTGATCTGATCGGGAGCTACCCCTTGGGTACCTGCACCAAACCAAATGTCATGGTGGACCTGGCTGTCACAATTCCAAATGTAAGTTATCCTAACTGCTTTTGTATTCTACAAAAAAATCAATGGTGTGCTGTGTTTCCGTAGCCTTCAGTCTGCTATTCTGTCTGTTGTTAGGATGTCCTCCATCCAAAAGATGTCCTGAACCAGAGGTATCCGAGGAAAAGGGCTCTCTACCTGGCAGGCCTGGCCCAGCATCTCACTTCCTCTTCTGACATCGGGACCATGCAGTATTCCTGTCTCCATGGGAATCGACTTCGACCTGTTCTGCTGCTGACCCCTCCAGGTATTCAAGTTTTAATTAATTTCATATTGTATACATTTTAAACATTATTCAATGACATTACGTTTACATTATATGGATTTTAACATCTATGTTAAAAGGCTTTTTTTCTGGTTGTGACTTTGAGATAAAAAGTGTTCTGTATTCCAGGTAAAGACTCTTCCAGCTTCACCCTCCGCGTTCATGCCTGTCCAGCTCCCGGGTTCTTCAAGCCCAGCCGTTTTCATCCCCAGAGGAATAACATCAGGACAGAGTGGTACACTGGTTTGCAGACTTCCCAGTCTGGTAAGATTGTTATTGTTCATCCCAGTATTTAAATCCCCTCCAGTAAACTGTCTCAGACAATGATTTTACAGTTGTATGTTAAATTTAGTTAAATACTAACCCTCCGACTACAGAAGTAGAAGTAGCCTGTCATGAACTAGAAAAACATCAAACAGGCTTAAAAAATGACCTGGATATTTCTGATGGAATGAGAAGCAAAGCAGGAACATCAAAGGAGCATGCAAAGGAGATCTCAAAGTTGTTACCTTTTTTTTTGGCCTTCTGATGCAGCTTGAGTCTTTGAACAAACTGTGTCTGGATTTTCAACAGACTGTTTTCATTGTATTGTATATTTATAGCCATGTTATTAGTCAGCAACTCCTTAATTAAATTATCTTTTTTTTTTTTTTTTAACTTATTTTGTCACAGAGAGCTCTGAACCTCCGACTCCACATTATAACAGCTCTGTTCTGGGAGATTTATTGCCGAGGGCTCACCTCCAGTTCCTCTCTGCTGTCAGCTCTCAGTGCTCAGCTTTTACTGATGGGGTGGCTTTACTTAAAGTCTGGCTTCGTCAAAGAGAGCTTGATCAGGTAGGAAGCTCTCATTGGTTCTCACACTTGTTGCATAGAGTTCAGAGGAGTGTACTGCAAAGTTCAGCATAGCACTTTGCATTATATGGCTTGACAAAACCGAAAACCCCAGTCAGAGATGATGATTACAACAATGGTTATAATCAACTTTATTCCTGACTGGATCATATTGAAGTGCTGCAACTTTTGATTTAGTTAAACATTAAAAGTTCTCGTAGCCTAATAAAGGAGATGTGGAAATCACTTTAGTTTATCTCCAGATCAATATATATTATTGATTAAATAATTATTCTTTGTGATCAATGGCCTACAACTACATCTGATGAATTTTCAGATCTGTATTCTAGTAGCTGAGGTTCCAGCAGCGTAAGATTTGGAAGCAGATTAGAGTCAAACATGAAAACATTTATACACATTCTGCATCATCGATTAATATTGCAACTAATAATCATCAATAAATATTGCACTAGTAACGCAACACGTGCTGTAACTTTCCAGATACTTTTAAACTGAAATTCTGATCCTTGCCTGGTCCACATCATGGTTTTAGCACAAGTCACCATTAAAATCTAGCCAGGTAGAGGGACAGCCATTTTCACAACACTGAAAACTCTGAATTAAAGCTAAAGCTAAAAAATGTCCTACTTTAAGGTGTAATTTTTTTCTTACCTTATATCTTTATTGTTCTCAATGTCTTATAGGGCACTGGTTGTTTTAATGGCTTCCTAGCTTCAATGCTGTTGGCGTATCTACTGATCACTCATAGAATCAGTAACAGCATGACGGCATATCAGCTTCTTCGAAACACCTTGAACTTCTTGGGTAATTTTAGTTTTAATGGATGTCCTCCTGTGTCCTTTTTTAAAATGTTGGTAATTGAAAGGTAACTTGCTTATCTGTTTTGAATGCCTTGCACCTTCTTCCTCAGCATCTACAGATCTGACAGTGAATGGAATCAGCCTGGCCAAAGATCCTGACTCTACAGCTGTGAGTTATCCAAATCAAATTTAAAACACTAATTGTGTGCATGTACTTTATTCACACTTTCATTTACTCTGGAACTGTGATTCAACCAACCCCCCCGTATCTTTTCTCTGTAGCCATCCAT